GACACTACATCACATTTTCTCTCCTAGAAGGGCTCTCATGAACACACTTCATGTTCTCGTGCTCTATAGGCACATCACCTCTCATGAAGGGGGCACCCTAGACAGCGCTAAATTATGTGGAGGGCAGCCCTGGTGGAGCCCAACCCACACTGGGAACACGTCCGACTTATTACCGGCATTGCAGACCAAGCTTCTGCCCCGTTCATACAGGGACCAAATCGCCCACAACAGTGGACCGCGGACCCCATACTCCTGAAGCACCCCCCACAGAGCACCTCGGGGTACCCAGTCGTAAGCCTTCTCCAAGTCCACAAAACGCATGTAGACTGGATAGGCAAACTCCCAGGCTCCCTCCAGTACCCTTGCAAGGGTATAAAGCTGGTCCAGTGTTCCACGGCCTGGACGAAAACCGCATTGTTCCTCCGAGATTCGACTATCGATCTCACCCTCCTCTCCAGTACCCTGGAATAGACTTTCCCAAGAAAGCTGAGAAGTGTGATCCCCCTGTAGTTGGAACACACCCTCCGGTCCCCTTTCTTAAATAAGGGGACCACCACCCCGGTCTTCCAATCCAGAGGCACTGTCCCTGACCTCCACGCGCTGTTGAAAAGGCGTGTCAGCCACGACAGCCCCACAACATCCAGAGCCTTCAGGTACTCCGGGCGGGTCTCGTCCACCCCCAGGGCCCACCCACCACGTAGCTCCCCAACCACCCTGGGCACCTCAGCCCCAGTAATGGGCAAGCCCCCCCCAGCACCCTCGGGCTCTGTGCCCTCAGATGTCTCAAAGGCAGTGTGCGTAGATGTATCTGAAGCAGGGTTGAGGAGGTCCTCAAAGTATTCCTTCCACCTCCAGGTGATATTCCCAGGTGAGGTCAACAGCACCCTCTCCCCACTATAAATAGTAGGAACCAGGAGCTGCTTCCCCCTCCTGATACTCCGGATGGTTTGCCAGAACCTTTTTGAGGCCGACCGAAAGTCACTTTCCATGGCCTCACCGAACTCCTCCCACGCCCGGGTTTTTGCTTCTGCAACCGCTCAAGCCACGTTCCGCCTGGCCTGCTGGTACCTGTCAGCTGCCTCCGGAGACCCCCAGGCTAATAATACCCAGTAAGCCTCCTTCTTCAGCTTGAAAGCCCCCCTCACCTCTCATGTCCACCATCGAGTACAGGGGTTACCACCACGACTGGCACCGACCACCCTGCAGCCACAGCTCCGTACGGCAGCTTCCACAATGGAGGTCCGGAACAGTGTCCATTCAGACTCAATGCCCCCAACCTCTCCCGGTATGCAGTTGGAATTCTGCTGGAGGTGTGAGTTAAAGCTCCGGCGAACAGGAGCCTCTGCCAGACGTTCCCAGCAGACCCTCACTATGCGCTTGGGCCTACCAGGTCTGACCGGCTTCCTCCCCCGCCACCTGAGCTAACTCACCACCAAGTAGTGATCAGTTGACAGCTCTGCCCCTCTCTTTACCCGAGTGTCCAAGACAGAAGGCAGCAGATCAGATGATACGATTAAGAAATCGATCATCGACCTGTAGCCCCGGGCATGTTCGTACCATGTCCACTTATGGACACCCTTATGCTCGAACATGGTGTTCGTTATGGACAAATAGTCCAATAACAGAACACCACTCGGGTTCAGGTCAGGGAGGCCGTTCCTCCCAATCACCCCTCTCCAGGTCACACTGTCATTGCCCACGTGAGCGTTGAAGTCCCCCAGCAAAACGATGGAATCTCCTCATGGCGCGCTAACCAGCACACCACTAAAGGAGTACAAGAAGGCCGGGTACTCTGAACCATCATTCGGCGCATAAGCGCAGATGACAGTCAGAGACCTATCCCCGACCCGAAGGCGCAGGGAGACAGCCCTCTCGTTCACCGGGGTAAACTCCGATGTTAATGCACCGAGCTGTGGGGCCACCAGTAGCCCCACCCCAGCCAAGCGTCGCTCACCCGCCGCAACTCCAGAAGAAAAGAGCGTCCAGCTCCTCTCCAGGAGATTGGTTCCAGAACCCACGCTATGTTTTTTTTATTTTTTTTTTATTTTTTATTATATCTTTATCAGAACAAGGTACATTGAAAGCATTCAGTATCAGAAACACTGTCAAAGGCATTAATTTTTTGTTTTTTACCCACAAGAACAAAACCAACATAAGACTGAACAAAACAATACAAAAAAAAATAAAAAATTTGCAAAACTGTTTTGGGGACAAAGATGAGGGCTCAAAGTTGGAGGAGTACATTCTTCTCGATATAAGTTATTAAAGGATCCCATATTTTGTAAAATATTCTAGTTGATCCTCTGAGAAAATATTTTATTTTTTCAGTTTTTAGAAATGACATTATGTCATTAAGCCATAGTGTCAGTTTAGGTGTCCTTGGTGATTTCCATTCTAAAAGAATTCTTCTTCTAGCTATTAATGTTGCAAATGCCAGGGCATTTTCTTTTTCTTTAGTTACAGTATATGAATATCGTCACCTGTGACCCCAAACAGAGCCATTATTGGGTTAGGGTGAATTCTTAAATTAAATGCAGAGTTTAAAATGTCAAATATCGAAAGCCAAAATTGCCTTAGTTTAGAACATGACCAGAACATATGGGTTAGATCAGCCTTGCTTGCATTGCAACGATCACATGTTTCATCTATATTTGAGTATATTTTAGCCAGTTTGGTTTTACTATAGTGAATACGATAGAAAACTTTCATCTGAATCAAACTAAGTCGTGCACAAGAAGAGGTCCTATTTATTCTGTCAACAGCTTTATCCCAAGTATCCCTGGATATGTCAATTCCTAACTCTCCTATCCATTCTGTTTTGATCTTAACAATTGATATATTTCTAAGTGTCATAATAAGGTTATATATTCTGGAAATTAGGCCCTTGAGGTGTATAGGGGCCTTAAGAACCAGGTCCAGTCCTGATTCAGAGGGCATTTGAGGGAATTAAGAGCAATGGGCCTGAATAAAGTGACGAACCTGAAGAAATCGAAAAAAGTCAGACTTTTGGAGATTAAATCTTTGTATCAGATCGTTGTAATTAGCAAAAATATTGTCAATGAAAAAGTCACTACATTTAGCTAAACCACGGTGCTCCCATTGCTTATAAGTAGCATCTAGCTTGGCAGCTGGGAAAAGATGATTATTACATATGGGGGTTTCCAGGGAAAAGTCTGTGAGTTGAAATGCTTGTCTAAATTGATTATATATTTTGAGAGTTGAAATTACAACTGGATTTGAGGAAAACTGCGAGGGTGAGAATGGTGACTTCATTGTAATCAACACTGCCAGTGATGTTGATTTGCAAGATTTTGCCTCCACTTCACACCATTCTGTATGAGGAGACTGAAACCAATAAATAACCTTTTGCAAATTTGCTGCCCAGTAATAGTTTAACAAATTTGGGAGAGCCAGTCCACCATCCTTTTTTGGTCTCTCAAGAAACACTCTACGTATCCTTGGCTTTTTGCCCCCCCATAAAAAAGAAGACAGCAGCCTATTGGTTGACCGAAAGAAGGATTTTGGCAAGAAAATTGGAAGACTCTGAAACAAATATAATAATCTCGGTAACACATTCATTTTAACACAATTAATTTTACCAGCTAAGGACAAATATATAACACTCCACCGTTGAAGATCTGATTCAAGTTTTTTAATTATGGGACTATAATTTGCTTTAAACAGACCAGTGTATGTACGAGTAATATTTATTCCCAAGTATTTAAATCCTGATTTTGATATGCAAAAAGGCAAGTCTCCATCTGTTATCTGATCTGCCTCATGATTTATAGGGAAGCATATACTTTTAGAGAAGTTTAATTTGTAACCTGAAAAGTTCCCGTACTCTTTTAATATTTTCAACTTCAGAGACACATGATAGTGGGTCAGTTATATACAATAATAAATCGTCTGGATAAAGTGAGACTTTATATTCGACATCCATTCTTTTAATACCACTAATAGACTGTGATGACCTAAGTACTGATGATAATGGTTCCATAGCCAAAATAAATAGTAAGGGGCTAAGAGAGCATCCCTGTCGTGTACCTCTAGACAAGGAAAAATATTCTGATATTATCTTATTTGTGACTACTGCTGCCTTTGGCTGATGATAAAGCAAGTGAATCCATGAAATAAACTTTGATCCGAATCCGAATTTATCTAATACTGCAAATAAATAGTTCCATTCAACTCTATCAAACGCCTTCTCTGCGTCTAGAGAAATAATCACTTCAGGATTACTCTTTGACACAGAGGAATGCACAACATTAAGAAGTTTGTGAATATTAACGAAAGAGTGGCGCCCCTTGATAAAGCCTGTCTGGTCTTGTGATATAATATCTGGTATTATATAATCTATTCTAGAAGCCAGTATTTTAGATAAAATTTTAACATCTACATTTAGTAAGGAAATAGGTCTATAAGAACTACAATCAAGGGCATCTTTATCTGGTTTCAAGAGAACTGTGATATGGGCCTGTGTAAGAGTTTGCGGTAGTTTTGATTGATCAAGAGAGTGATTGAACATATTTAAAAGCAAAGGTGACAATTGTAGGGAGAATTTCTTATAAAATTCGACGGGAAATCCGTCCGGTCCCGGGGCTTTACCGCTCTGCATAGCTCTGATTGAGTTTTCTATCTCTTGAAGTTGTAAAGGTTTATCCAGATTATTCTTTTGGTCTTCATTAACTGTGGGTAGGTTAATTTTAGCCAAAAATGTCGTCATGAAAGAGTTATTCTGTGGGAATTCTGAAGTATACAGATCTAAATAATACCCACGCTATGTTTTAAGGTGAGCCCGACTATATCTAGTCGAAATCTCTCAACCTTACCCACAAGCTCAGGCTCCTTCCCCACCAGAGAGGTGACATTCCATTAGGACAGAACAGAAAGCCTTTATTGTCATTGTACAGAGGATATACAGTAAATAGGCATAAATATATAAAATGTACATATACAGTGGAGGGGGAAAGCCCCCCCACTCATCAGGATTACATTTAGTTACATTTATGCAGAGAGAAAAACAGTTACTTTGCATGTTCATTCAGCCTGCTGAACTGAGGCATTTATTTTTGTCTAACATACATCACACTTCAGACAGAGTAAATAGGATTTTGCCAGGGAGAACCAGCAAACGTCACACTGTGATACAGTGAAAATGATTCCTCGAGCACACAATGAGCTATCCTAGCATGCACAGTGACACAGGGGAGTTTTTATAATAAACCCAAAACCCTGGACAGAGGGGCTCAGTGAATGAGGAGGTGAATCTGTACAGGGAGGTCAGTCCATCAGAGGAGACTCTGTAGAAGGACAGAGCACCAGCCCCCCAGTCCAGATACACTCCTACTGTGCGGGAACCTGAGGCCTCTATGGGTAAGACAGTCTGCTTCTTATTGTGCCAGACAGAGTAACTGTTACTGCAGCTCAGACTCCATGACTTGTCATTGTCTCCAAGCCGACAGTCAGCACTGTTTCCTTTCCTCTTGATTCCTTTATAAGTCACTCCTATCCCGGCTCCACCTCCATCCCACTCAGCCTCCCAGTAACAGCGGCCAGTCAGACTCTCTCTGCACAGAACTTGGAGGCGGCAGTCAAATCTCTCTGGATGATCAGGATATGGTTGCTCTTCTTCCTCCCATGTCACCTTCCTGTTCCCTTCTGACAGAGACAGGTCTCTGTTTGCTGTGTTGGGGTCCAGTGTCAGTTGGCAGGAGTCTGTAGGCAAAAGGAAGAGCTGCTAGTACCATCAGACAGATGGGCATCTCCGCCATTTTATCACACGTTGCTCACTCACTAACACAGAACTCGCTCCAATATGCACATTTTACTCCCAATATACTCCTGCAGCCTCTGCGCTGTGTGTGATAGACACTGTGCTGACAGACTCACTTGGGGCTGCCAAAATGCAGCATGGGCTAAACTAACAGGTTTTTTTTCCAGTAAATAAAATTACAAAGCAACAACATTCATCAAACATATTTGCCGCAAGCATATTTACCACAAACATACGACACCAAACATTAATACTAAAAGTGAGTGTCTTTACTTTGAAATATGAACTTTCTTCAAATCACATTGGACATGAACCTCCTCACAACAGCATTAACTGTAGACTGAGGAATACTGAATGAATCGCTGTTTTGAACCGGTTCTGTTCAGTAAATCAGTTGAACCGGTTTTCAAATGTAAAAGAATCGAGTGTTTTTGTATATCCACGCATTGTACACAGGGTTCTTGCAGGTTTCAGTAAGTTAAATTTAAGACCTTTGTAAGACCTATTAAGACCATTATGTCACTCATATCCTTAGCCCAACATCCACATATCATATGTGTTTAGAGCATGTGGGAGTGGTATTTTAAGGCTTAAACTATAAAAAAGTTTATGTATATGTTATTTCTATATCGCGGATTTTCACCTATCGCTGATGGGTCTGGAACGTAACTTCCGCGATAGGTGGAGGATCCAGACCCATCAGCGATAGGTGAAAATCCGCGATATAGAAAGACCATATACATAAACTTTTCTTATAGTTTAAGCCTCAAAATATATAGTGATCCCCTGCCTATCACGGAAGTTACATTCCAGACCCATCAGCGATAATGAAAACAACTGGAAATAGCTGATAAACACGGGGAATCCACACGGGGTTAACGAGGGGGCGTGGCACAAGGGAGGAGCGGACGAGCGGGGCAAGACATACTGCACTTTTAATCAGATTTTTAATATTTTCTAAGCAATTTTTATTCAAATAAGTTTTTTTTTCATCTCTATTTTGCTTTTTTTGTCTTGGTTTAACTTTTTAAAATCTTGTTTTTATAAAGCACATTAAATAACCCCTGTGTATGATAATAAAAACTTGCCTTGCCTTACCATAAGGAGACCGAGAAACATTCTCCTCAAGACCACACAAACAACTAAAAACTATATGCTGGAAACTAAGACATTCACAAGGTAAGGCTAGTAGTTGCCTTTTAACTGAAAAAATTCACTCCAGTCATCAGAGAAAAAAGTTCTAATGCACTACATCAAAACATTTACATTGCAATAATGTATGGCATGAAATAAGCTTCTAACTATATCATTCAGTAATACAAATAATAAAACAACATACCATTCACATTGACCTCAAGAACTAAGTTAGCGCTTGATTCCCCTGCACTTCCTGTTGTGGCTGAGTGTGCACCTGACGTCAGTGGCTGAAAGTGCACGTTCTGCAGCCAGACCCTTCTCTCTCAAACTGTTTGTTTGCCTGGCTGCAGTGATCACGCAATGGGATTTGTAGTTTTATTACCACGCAGACACCGGTGTAGACCAGAAAACACAACCAACGGATTAGTTTTACAGCGTTTTACTATTTTATTTTCTGTGAACAACGCTTTTTGGGAATGAACGGAGGTAAGAATTTTAAGACTTGGGTAAATTAAATTTAAGACATAGGATGAAAATCTGGATATTTTTAAGACATTTTAAGGCCTTAAATTTAACTTTCTGAATTTAAGACTTTTTAAGATCCCGCGGGAACCCTGTGTACAGGTACACGTTTTAGATTATAAAAGTATAAAAAAGACAATAAATATGTAACATATAATTCACATATAAAAACACACAGCAACCTTTGTAAATTCACTTGTATTTGCTTTTCGTACACTCTCTGTAGCCATGTTGCCTTCAGTGCCCCTCTGCGTACCGTAATCCTTTGCTTTTGTAATGTGTTCATGCCTGGCCTACTCCTGACTTCGACAATCCAAGTTAGTGAGTTTTAACTTCTATTTTTGAGTTTGTTGTTTTAATTCGGTTAGGTTTCATGCCTCATGCTTTTAGTTTCATTCCATTTTTTATAACCCTCTGAGTAGTTCTGCATTTTGACAAGATTGTTTCAAGCAGTTTCTCAGCAAATCTTGTGAGACCCAAAACTCACAGTGACTAGTCTGTCTTAACTGTCTTTAAGTGACTTAACTGTTTATATGTAAAATGCTAAATTCTGTTTATGTAATTGTTTTCCTTTTTAATTAGTCCAGAACTGATTTATATATATTCACAAGACTAGGAGATTACCACTATTTTAATAAAAATAAGATTTTAATAAACGGGAGGTTTCAATGAAAGTGACTCAACATAGTGCAGCAGCACTCTTTGAACTGAACCCCAACTCTTTGAATTGAACACTCGATTCATTTAAAATGAACAGTTCGATAGAATTGGTTCTGTAAATTGAACCAAACTTCCCATCACTACTGAGAAATACTACAAGTGCCGTCTTAGGACGATACTAATGAATCTCAAAAAGAAATGCGTACACTCCCCGCTGATTTGGGGAAGACTACGGGCGCTGTCTTAGGCCAATACTAATTAATCTCAAAATGACAGCACATACACTCACCGCATGCGTAAAAAGAAGAAACAGGAAGCATTTTTTTTTGTTATTTTGGTGAAATTAGAGATATAGAACTAACTATATCGGAATATACTTTGTCCCTGTGACACTACCACACAAACACAATATGAGCAGCTATAAAGAACTTGTTTATCAAAAATAATGATCAAATAAATAAATGATATCCAGAAAAAAACGAATTAAATTGTTTTTGGTGATGTCTGTTTTGTTGGTGTGTTTGTTTTTCTTTCCTTTGGATGTTGTCTAAAATGATACAAAAGGGGAAACTCACCTAAACACAAACATGGAAATCCATCTACACACAATGCAAAAAGCCACAATCATCACAACAATTGTGTGAATTAATACAACCATAAAATGGAATTAATGGTATTATTAATAAAAACATGCAAACAGACTTACATTTCTGTAAGCCTGGTCTGGTCCTGCACTCTCCACCGTGGTCCAAACTATAGGAGAAGCAGAATGACATAGTACAGCTGTATCCATTTATTTATTGGTGCCTTTTCTTCACATACATGCATAAGTATCTGTAGTGTGTCTCACTTCAGCTTCTCCAACTTAAAGCTAGGATTCTCCAACACAGCAGACAGCAGCCTCACTACTGTGTCTCCTGGGTGATTGTAGCTGAGATCCAGCTCTCTCAGGTATGAGGGATTTGACCTCAGAGCTGAAGCCAGGGAAGAACAGCCTTCTTCTGTGACTCTACAGCCTGACAGCCTGCATAGAGACAGATAAAACTCTCCAATAAATAAGATCACCTCACCATTACAAGTACAGTGAAAACCGCTCATTGTGATCACATCACGTCTGGATAAAATTCATTGCTATAAGCGGATGATCATTATAACTGATTTTTATCTTGTCTTACTAAATGACATATTTATTAAGCAGGAATATAAGCAGGGACTGACATAACTGTTTAAATAATTTGCTTATAATAATAATTTTGAAATTGATTAAATCAAGTAAACAGCGACCCTGTCTGTTTTATTACCTTATATTCAGGGATGGACATAACTGGTACACAACTACGCATTCACCTTTAAAAGCGATACGTGCGGCAATCGATTGTTGTAACAGTGTGAATGTGTACGTATTTTATGTGCATTTGCGCCAATATGACAAGAAATTATTGTGTATTTTAACCTTTATATACTAATTCATACTTTACATGAATCGATTACCGCACATATAGTTTTTAAAGGTGAAGGCGTACTTGCATACCAGTTATGTCCATCCCTGAATATAAGGTAATAAAACAGACAGGGTCGCTGTTTACTTGATTTAATCAATTTCAAAATTATTATTATAAGCAAATTATTTAAACAGTATTTTAGGAATGATTCTGTCCCAAACTTTTCGATCCATTTCACAGTGTGGAACACCCAGTAATATTGACCCCAGTACCCCCAGTTTACGGTGTGGAATATCCAGTAATACTGACCTCAGTACCTCCAGTTTACACTGTGAATCCCCCAGCCCAGCAGAGAGCAGCTTCACTCCTGAATCCTGCAGGTCATTGTCACTCAGGTCCAGCTCTCTTAGAGGTGAGGAGTTTGATCTGAGAGCTGTAGCCAGCACCTCACAGCATTTCTCTGTGAGTTCACACCAGTTCACCCTTAGGAAAATGAAACACTTATAAAATCACTTTTTGCATTGGTGCACAGTATCTTACATTAAAGTGAACACAGTCATCATAGAAGAGGTTTCTTAAAAGAATTAATGTATTGCACAGCATATAAAAAGCATATTAACAATCACCCCAGTTTTGATTGGTGTCCATTATACTTTCATTGGTAACTTTGTTAAACTCTGAATATTTAAGTTCTAAATTGCACCATAACATAACTTTTCTTTGTCTTTTAGCTAACCAACACAAATCATGTGCTAAAAATGATTGGTGTCATGACACGGCTTCGCTGCCTTCCTGCCCGCCGGGCGATCATTACAATTGGTTTCCTGCTTTATTGCTTAATTATTCCTAACATGGTTTGACTGCTGACAGGTTTGTGGGATATATGGAATTAGGAGTTGTGTTTATTATGTTACTGCTGAAATGCATTATGGGCCGTCCTGTCCAGTTTCTTTTTTGTAAAACACATATTCTGTATCAGCGTTATTACTGATAATAAAAAGTTAAATCAAAAGTATAAGAAAATATTTTCATAAAGTGATGATATGACAATAAAATAAAAAAAAAACTACAACAGAACAAAAAAAATAACTACTGCATCCAAAACTAACCGATATCTAAAAATAACAAACTCCTTTCCATTACTACTTTATACTATTTAACTGATATAATGGTGTGTTTATCTTTACCATTAAAAATACCTTGACCAGCAATGGTCGGCTCTCAGCCATGACAGCATGGTGTTAGATCAGTGTGTAATGCTTGAGGGAGGTTAGCCATGACAGTATGGCGTTAGGTCAGTGTGTAATGCCTGAGGGAGATTAGCCATGACAGTATGGTGTTAGATCAGTGTGTAATGATTGAAGGAGATTAGCCATGACAGTATGGCATTAGATCAGTGCATAACATTTTATGGAGGTCAGGCAGGACGGTATCTTGGTAGATAACGCTTGGGCCCTTCCATGAATCACCACCTTATTGTGTTGGAGGGGTTTTTGTCCCTCTGTGATTTTGTTGTCGGGGGAACTGCCCCTGTTAGGGTCTCCCAAGGCAAATTGATTCTAGGTGAACAGCTTAACAAAGTGCAATTCAGAATGACCCCTATGGAAAAAAAAAAAACACTAAGGATAATTTGATTCTGCCCAGATTGGAGTGACTGGGGCCCCGCCCTGGAGCCAGGCATGGGGCAGAGCTGGCAGACGAGAACCAGAACCAGAGACGAGATACAAACCCAATTTAATTCACAAAATGCATTTCGACGACAAAATGACTTTCTTTAATTCACAAAATGCATTGAGGACAAAATGACTTTCTTCTGTCCACAAAATATACGTGCACGAAAGAAAGTGAAGTCTTTTTGTTTTTATGGACAGAATGCAGCAAGGCATTACTTCATTTTGTCATTACACAGTGCTTTACACAGGAAGAACATGTAAGCTCTGCACACACAGAACCAGAGACGAGGTACAGTGTTGCACTTGCTGCAACACTGACATAAAATGTTCATTCTGTACTTACTTCAACTTCTCCATCTTACAGCTGGGATTCTCCAGTGCGGCAGAGAGCAGCTTCAATCCTAAGTCTCCTGGGTGATTGTAGCTCAGATCCAGCTCTCTCAGGTGTGAGGGGTTTGACCTCAGAGCTGAAGCCAGGGAAGAACAGCCTTCTTCTGTGACTCTACAGCCTGACAGCCTACAGAGACACAGACAAAAAGCTCTCAAATAAATTACCAGCCAAGAGTATTTTATTTGGTGTAATTCCACCTGCGGAAATGTGATTTAGGTTCCTCTGCTGGGAAACTGTGAAAAGCCCAGGTATTTACTCTAGTACATAGAGTAACAATATTAAGTCAGTATAACAATATTATAACAAAACATCTGCATCATATCCACTTTTCTGAGAAATAAAAAGCTGAAATCTATACCTGCTTAGTGGGAAGGAAACGGTGTGAGTGCAGAGGTTCGCTCGTGTGACTTGCCTTGCAAACGTCACAGAAAAACTTTATAATATAAAGTACTGACATAGTTCATGCTTAGGCAGCTTGGATTCAGGATCAGCCACATTACTGGCTGAGGCTCTTCAGACCTGAGATAATATTAGTCCTTCTGCTGCATCTAGAGGCCTAAACAGGAGCTTAAGTCAGAGTAAATGAACTGGCCATGTGGCTGATCCCTCAGCCCTTCCCAGAACACTCCTTTCTGTGGCTGCAGGGTGGAGGGTGTCTCAAATATACCGTCAAATACCCGAGGCCTGTGGTTTAATCTGTGTCCCAGTTGCAGTGTCAGTGTGAAATACCAGTTTACTATTTGATCGGAGAAATATGACTGACCTCAGTACCCCCAGTTTACAGTTTGGAATACCCAGTAATACTGACCTCAGTATCCAAAGTTTACAGTGTACAATACCCAGTGTCACTAACCTCAGTATCCACAGTTTACAGTCTAGAATACCCAGTGTCACTGACATCAGTATCCCCAGTTTACAGTGTGGTATACCAAGTAACACTCTCCTCATATCTGCAGTTAACAGTGTGGAATAACCAGTAACACTGTCCTCAGTATCTCCAGTTAACTGTGTGGAATACCCAGTAACACTAATCTCAGTATCACTACTTTACAGTGTGAATTACCCAGTAATACTGACCTCAGTATCCCCAATTTACAGTGTGGAATACCCAGTAATACTGACCTCAGTATTCTCAGTTTACATTGTGAATCCCACAGTCCAGCAGAGAGCAGCTTCACTCCGGAATCCTGCAGGTCATTGTCACTCAGGTCCAGCTCTCTCAGGGGTGAGGAGTTTGATCTGAGAGCTGAAACCAGCGCCTCACAGCATTTCTCTGTGAGTTCACAGCTGTTCAGCCTGCAAAAGGAGCTGTGTTATTATACACACATAGACCAGTATACACTCACCTAAAGGATTATTAGGAACACCATACTAATACAGTGTTTGACCCCCTTTCGCCTTCAGAACTGCCTTAATTCTACGTGGCATTGATTCAACAAGGTGCTGAAAGCATTCTTT